TCCGTCTCTCTCTCTCTCTCTCTCTCTCTCTCTCTCCTTCATTCTCGCTCTCCCTCATCCTCTCTATCTCCTTCATTCTCTCTCCCTCGTTCTCTCTCTCCCTCATTCTCTCTCTCTCCCTCATTCTCCCCCTCTCTCATTCTCTCTCCTTCATTCTCTCTCTCTCTATTTTTACTGTGTGTCATGTGATTGTCAGTAAGTACTCTTCACACACACTAAAAACAAATGGTTTTATATACTGCCAAATAAGGGTTATTTGGCTTGTAACCATAGCTGAACCCTTTTGGTGCTATATGGATTTCAAGGTTCTAGAAAGAACCATGCTCATAAGGTTCTAAATGGAACATGTATGGTGCTATATAAAGAACTATTTTCGAAGGTTCTATAAAGAACCATAAAAAAAAAGGTTGTACTGTATATAGCACCAAAAAAGGGTTCCGCTATGGTTACAATCCTTTCTTGGGCTATATAGAAACCTTTTTTATGGTTCTTTATAGAACCTTTATGGAGAACGGAGCTAAACTGAGTGTACAAAATATTAGGAACACCCCCTTTTGCGCTCAGAACAGCCTCAATTCATCAGGGCATGGACTCTCCAAGGTGTTGAAAGTATTCCACAGGGATAGTGGCCCATGTTGATCCCAATGGTTCCCACAGTTGTGTCAAGTTGCCGTGAAAAATCCAGCAGCATTACAGTTCTTGACACAGGCACTTACATCTTTTGTCTTGCCCATTCCCCCTCTGAATGGCACACACACAATCATGTCTCAATTGTCTCAAGGCTTAAAAATCCTTCTTCAACCTGTCTCCTCTCCTTCATCTACACTGATTGAAGTGTATTTAACAAGTGACATCAATAAGGGATCATAGCTTTCACCTGGTCAGTCTATGTCATGGAAAGAGCCATACGTATCATACCTGCTTTAATAGCCATATTATATTGTTAAAATTCCATAGGTTGTACTGTGTTTATCGACAAGTTGAATGGCTGGGGTTCCCTGAAGAGAGACTTGAGAACTACTGACTTAGTCAACCGTTCTCAATTGACACAAGGCCATACGTGAGTCTTTCACAAGACACCGTCACTGGCCATAGTCATACACAACATGTACTAGCATAACACAACAGATTAGATCAACTGGAATGACACTCTCACTCACAGTTGCACAAAAAGAGCTGTGAACAAACCACTCCCCAATATATTCGAATGAGCTGCCGCCCGTAAATTCAGTGGTGGAAAAGTAACCAATTGCCATACTTGAGTAAAAGTAAAGATACCCTAATAGAAAATGACTCAAGTAAAAGTGAAAGTCTAAAGTAAATTACTACTTGAATAAAAGTCTAAAAGTATTTGGTTTTACATATACTTAAGTATCAAAACTAAATGTAATTGCTAAAATATACTTAACTATCAAAAGTTAAAGTATAAATCCTTTCAAATACCTTATATTAAGCAAACCAGATGGCATCAATAGATTTTTTAGTTAGGGATAGCTAGGGGCACACTCCAACACTCATAGAACACTCATAGAACCATAATTTACAAACAAAGCATTTGTTTTTAGTGAGTCCACCAGCTCAGAGGCAATAGGAATAACCAGGGATGTTCTCTTGATAAGTGTGCGAATTGGACCATTTTCCTGTCCTGCTAAGCATTCAAAATGTAATGAGTACTTCTTCAGGGAAAATGTATGTAGTAAAAAGTACATTATTTTCTTTAGGAATGTAGTGAAGTAAAAGTAGTCAAAAATATAAATAGTAAAGTACGGTACAGATACCCCAAAAAACGACTTAAGTAGTACTTTAAAGTATTTTTACTTAAGTACTTTACACCACTGCATACATTTTAATTATCACTAAAAGAGGAATTAACCCTTTTTTGAACTGCAAAGAACCATTGGGCTCAAAGGGTTATTTGGGTCAGTATGGTTCCACATAGAACCATAACACTTCCCAAAGAACCCTTGAGGAACCCTCATGTTTTAGTGTGCTGTGCTACTGAACACAATCACCTCTATAGGTTACATGGCTACTGTTAGGATTTCTCGTCTCAACAGTCTGTTTCAAAAGCACTGTTTTATGCCCAAACACGTATCAGTTATTTTGTTGCCTTCGTGATTACAGACTCATGCTCAGCCAGTCATGTAATGAAACGTTCATGGAAAACGTCCCAATTATTTAACCATCTAACTAAATCAAGTTTTTGCCGAACATAACAAAATGGTTTCAAAACATAAAATCAAATGAAAACTTTTCTCATTTGTTTAATTTGATTGTTAATGCAGTGAATAAACCCTAAATGTCTTCTAAGCTATGGAGACAGACAGAGATGCTGTTTTTTCTTTCCTATCTTCTCTTCCAGTCACCTGTTTCCTCTCTTCTCTTCCAGTCACCTCTTCCCTCTCTTCTCTTCCAGTCACCTGTTTCCTCTCTTCTCTTCCAGTCACCTGTTTCCTCTCTTCTCTTCCAGTCACCTCTTCCCTCTCTTCTCTTCCAGTCACCTGTTTCCTCTCTTCTCTTCCAGTCACCTCTTCCCTCTCTTCTCTTCCAGTCACCTGTTTCCTCTCTTCTCTTCCAGTCACCTCTTTCCTCTCTTCTCTTCCAGTCACCTGTTTCCTCTCTTCTCTTCCAGTCACCTGTTTCCTCTCTTCTCTTCCAGTCACCTAAGTCAGCCTTTATAAGTGCAGCTAAGAAGGCCCATCTGAGAACCAACCCGCCCAAAGTGCGCTTTTCAGAACAAGTGTCCTTCAGTGACCCAGACTCAGTAAGTACCACTCCGCTGGTGATCCTTCTCTCACACCTGCAGTCTTGTTTCTATCTCTCTCTCCATGTCTGTCTTCCTCTCTGTCCTTCTCACTTTCTCAATAGTTAATACGCTCTCTATTTTTCTCTAACACAATTTCTCTCACTATTCAGTCTTTCTCCACGTCCCTCTAAAACATTCTCCTCTGTTTATTCTCTCTTTACCCTGGGCCTGGGCCTGTCTCCCCGGCTGATTAAACATGGCCGTTCTCCTCTGTTTATTCTCTCTTTACCCTGGGCCTGGGCCTGTCTCCCCGGCTGATTAAACATGGCCGAACATCCTCTTCCTCTCCATCACCGTGTTTGTATTTTGGGTAGCTGACTACCTGCACCATACAAAACAGCCTTGGGTCCAACACAGTGTAGCTTTTCGACTATAAATTGTTCTCCTCCAGATCGATGTCCCCTCTCGCTGGTAGAGCACAGGTTGCACCTCTAAACTGTTTCTAAGATGTTAGTTAAATAATGGGTACATTTTGATTTCAGCTGCCTTAGCAGTGTTACAGTGTTAGGCTGGCTGAGAGCTGAGATGTAAAGTCCCTGCATGGCTGTGAAGGCCCTCTCCGTACTGCCTCTGAGCTCTGAGGAAGTGTCCCAAATGGCACCCTATTCCCTACATAGTGCACTACTTCTGAGCAGAGCCCTATAGGCCCTAGTCAAAAGTAGTGCACTATAATAGGCCCTGGTCAAAAATAGTGCACCATACAGTATAGTGCCATTTGGGACGCAGCCTGAGTTCTCTTCTCAAAGCCCAGAGGGGTTGGCTCTACAGGCAAGCCAACAAGCTTATCTCTCACTGTTCCTATTGACAGCTTGTTGTGAAATGTATGAATAAACAAGTTAGGCTTTAGCTGCTTTGTTTCAACATCATCTCTATGCATCCCAAACGGCACCATATTCCTTACATAGTGCAGAGCCTTATGGGTCCTGGTCAAAAGGGAATAGGATGACTAAATAGGGAATAGGATGACTAAATAGGGAATACTAAATAGGGAATAGGATGACTAAATAGGGAATAGGATGACTAAATAGGGAACACTAAATAGGGAATAGGATGACTAAATAGGGAATAGGATGACTAAAAAGGGAATACTAAATAGGAAATAGGATGACTAAATAGGGAATAAGATGACTAAATAGGGAATATGATGACTAAATAGGGAATAGGATGACTAAATAGGGAATATGATGACTAAATAGAGAATACTAAATAGGAAATAGGATGACTAAATAGGGAATAGGATGACTAAATAGGGAATACTAAATAGGGAATAGGATGACTAAATATGGAATACTAAATAGGGAATAGGATGACTAAATAGGGAATACTAAATAGGGAATAGGATGACTAAATAGGGAACACTAAATAGGGAATAGGATGACTAAATAGTGAATAGGATGACTAAATAGGGAACACTAAATAGGGAATAGGATGACTAAATAGGGAACACTAAATAGGGAATAGGATGACTAAATAGGGAATAGGATGACTAAATAGGGAATAGGATGACTAAATAGGGAATAGGATGACTAAATAGGGAATAGGATGACTAAATAGGGAACACTAAATAGGGAATATGATGACTAAATAGGGAATAGGATGACTAAATAGGGAATAGGATTACTAAATATGGAATACTAAATAGGGAATAGGATGACTAAATAGGGAATAGGATTACTAAATAGGGAATAGGATGACTAAATAGGGAATAGGATGACTAAATAGGGAATAGGATGACATTTGGGATGCAGCCCTGGTGTGTGTTGCTAACCAGACCTGTTGGACATCACTGTGCACCATAGCCCAGATCCAACTGAGACCTAGTTATAAGAGTGGAATCAGTGAGTACACAAGTTGACATTTCTAACAGGAGAGATAACTGGGGAGCCTCTAACAGGAGCTAGGCTACCTACAGTGCATTCGGAAGGTATTCAGACCCTATCCCTTTTTCCACATTTTGTTACATTACAGCCTTATTCTAAAATTGATTAAATAATTTTTTTCCTCATCAATCTACACAGAATACCCCATAATGACAATGCGAAAACAGGTTTTTAGGAATGTTTGCAAATGTATTGTCATTGCAAATGTAAAAAACAGAAATACCTTATTTACATAAGTATTCAGACCCTTTGCTATGAGACTCATAATTGAGCTCAGGTGCATCCTGTTTCCATTGATCATCCTTGAGATGTTTCTACAAATTGATTGGAGTCCACCGGTGGTAAATTCAATTGATTGGACATGATTTGGAAAGGCACACACCTATCTATAAAACAAAAACCAGATCTGGGGAAGGGTACCAAAACATTTCTGCAGCATTGAAGGTCCCCAAGAACACAGTGGCCTCCATCATTCTTAAATGGAAGAAGTTTGGAACCACCAAGACTCTTCCTAGAGCTGGCCGCCCGGCCAAACTGAGCAATCGGGGAAGAAGGGCCTTGGTCAGGGAGGTGACCAAGAACCCGATGGTCACTCTGACAGAGCTCCAGAGTTACTCTGTGGAGATGGGAGAACCTTCTAGAAGGACAACCATCTCTGCAGCACTCCACCAATCAGGCCTTTATGGTAGAGTGGCCAGACGGAAGCCACTCCTCAGTAAAAGGCACATGACAGCCCGCTTGGCGTTTGCCAAAAGGCACCTCAAGGACTCTCAGACCATGAGAAACAAGATTCTCTGGTCTGATGAAACCAAGATTGAACTCTTTGGCCTGAATGCCAAGCGTCATATCTGGAGGAAACCTGGCACCATCCCTACGGTGAAGCATGGTGGTTGCAGCATCATGCTGTGGGGATGTTTTTCAGCAGCAGGGACAGGGAGAGCGCTCAGGACCTCAGACTGGGGCGAAGGTTCACCTTCCAACAGGACAATGACCCTAAGCACACAGCCAAGACAACGCAGGAGTGGCTTCGGGACAAGTCTCTGAATGTCCTTGAGTGGGCCAGCCAGAGCCCGGACTTGAACCCGATCGAACATCTCCGGAGAGATCTGGCAATAGCTGTGCAGCAACGCTCCTCTTCCAACCTGACAGAGCTTGAGAGGGAGAAACTCCCCAAATACAGGTGTGACAAGCTTGTAGCGTCATACCCAAGAAGACGCGAGGCTGTAATCGCTGCCAAAGGTGCCTCAACAAAGTACTGAGTAAAGGGTCTGAATACTTGTGTGTGTGTGTGTGTGTGTGTGTGTGTGTGTGTGTGTGTGTGTGTGTGTGTGTGTGTGTTTGTGTGTGTGTGTGTGTGTTTGTGTGTGTGTGTGTGTGTGTGATGGGGGCTTTGAGTCACCAACTCTCTCTACTTACCTCATTCACCCCCCTGGTGACAGCACCTCTGGAAAGAGTGAATACCTGTCACGCCCCTTCTCCCTACCTGGGCTGAACTCAACTCCAGCAGAGGAAACTTTTCTGATGAGTGGCTGATAAAAGCAGAATAACCTTGAGTTATCAGGCCTCCTGCAGCTCTCCCTGGCCTACGCAACCACTGTACTTTATAGTATTTTCAGCCAGCTAGCTTCCAATTGTACTTGCAGCACCGGCGCATACATATTAAATGGATGTATTGAGGAAATGTAATAAGCTGCTCTTTGATCACAACACAATGTATCCAGGCAGGGTTCCTAAAGCAGAGTTGTGTCCCTATTCAGGCTGCCCCAGTTCAATTAAGGTATTGTTTCTCCATGGAACTCTGGAAGCTCTAGCCTGGTCCCTTCTTAACTGCTTTTAGATGGAATGTACTTCTCTCTGCACATTCCACAGTTCCGGAGTTCCAACTCCATTCAATTATAGCCCTGATCCCCTACTCTGGGGTTGATTAAATGTACTGTACCATTTTGATGTACGATATTGACCTTTTAAGTACTTTCTCAGATACCTCATCTTGCCTCTATATTACTGCTATAAGGCACTAAGGTTTTACATTTGCTCTCTCTTTCACTCCCTCTCTCTCTCTTTCCCTCCCTCTCTCTTTCTCTCTCTCCCTCTCTGCCTCTCTTCATCTTGTCCTCTCTCTCCACCCTCTCTGTCTCTCTCTCCACCCTCTCTGTCTCTCTCTCTGTCTCTCCATCTCTCTCTCTCTCACAGACAATGCTAAAGGACGACTCTTTGCTACTCATACCAAATGTGCTGAAGGTGTTCCTGGAGAATGGTCAGATCAAGTCCTTTACGTTTGACAGCCGCACCACCGTCAGGGTACGTGTACAGTTAGGGTCCAATTTGTACGCGTTACCAACAGAGTGAATGTGAAAATGGATTCAAATTGTCACCCTCTGCTGGTGATTTGCAGGATGTGCAATGATACAAGTAAAAGGAGGGTTTTGATTGGTTACATTGCCTACTATGCCAATGTATCCGTATAAAATTATCTCTGCTACTCTAAAAGGTAGCAGAGATCTGGAACTTTGATATGCCCGTAGAGTATATCATGTTCAACAATACATTGTAAAATACTACTCGTATTACAGAGTACGAGGTAGACTTCATATAGCACCAAATGTTGCTTTGTAGCGCCTACAGATGAAACATTATGGAGTCTTAAAGGAGGCTTGGGTAATCCCAAAATGTCACAAATGTTCCAACTTCAATAATTTATTTCTCAATGATGCTTTAAGATACAAATGTCAAATATATGTAAACAAATCATGGTATTTCTTTGTATATTTTCATGCCCATTTAAACTGCACATGAAATGCAAACATATTGACTACCCACTGGGCAAAAACTGATTGAATCAACGTTGTTTCCACATCATTTCAACCAGAAAATGTAATCTGATGGTGAATCAACGTGGAAAACTGATTGGATTTGCAAAAAGTCATCAACGTAAGGGAAGCCAACTTTGGACCTAAATCCAATGACAAATCAAAACTAGACGTTGAACGGACGCCTGTGCCCTGTGGGTATAACCATCACTTCCCCCAAAAAATACAAATATTTAATAACGTCACTGACAGTAAGACTCCCTCCACAGTGTTTGAGGAACAGGCCTAGTTCTGAGAAGCCCATTTCCTTCAAATCACAGTATTTTATAATGGCTGTGGCCACGTCTCAAATAGCACCCTATTCCCTATATAGTGCACTACTTTTGACCAAAGCCCTGGGCCAAAAGGGAATAGGGTGTCATTTGGGACACATTTTGTAATATTGTAATGACATCCAGCAGTCAGTCAGGAGACAGAAGCCATTACCAACTCACTGTCAGGCTCTGAGACGACTCTGATATCTCTTACCATTAAGGCACAATATTAGATTTCACAAATCTCTTTTCCTGCTCATTGAGGGAGAGCGTGATGGAGAAATGGATGGAGGGAGGGAGGGAGGGAGGGAGGGAGGGAGGGACATAAATGGGTGGAGGGAGAGAAATAAAAGGAGAAATGGATGGAGAAAGAGAGAGAGAGAGAGAAATGGAAGGAAGGAGAACGTG